TATAGTATAGTATAGTATAGTATAGTATAGTATAGTATAGTATAGTACAGTACAGTACAGTGCAGTACAGTACAGTGCAGTATAGTATAGTATAGTATAGTACAGTACAGTGCAGTATAGTATAGTATAGTATAGTACAGTACAGTACAGTACAGTACAGTATATTGTTTGCATACGCTCTCCGTTCACCCATGTCCACCTCAGTCCAGATACCAGCTGGATCAACAGCTGCTCTTGTGCTGCTTCTGCTGTCAATTTTAACACAGTTCACAACTTAAACACAGGTAACAAGGCACAATGGACTCAGTTGCTCTACTAAACATGTGTTTTGAAAATAAGTTATATGTAGCACATGGACAGATTCTTAAGATCCATCAAAACACAAAGGTGGACTCTTCTTTTTTAATGTTTTCTACAGAAGCAACAACACACTTATCTACCAGCTGAAGTCAAGCACTGTATGATCCGTTTTCACTTCTCCTTAGTTTACCATGTTAAACACATTAGCATAACATGTTATACATGTTAGCTTAACATGTTATACAATTTAGTTTACCATGTTATACACATTGGCTTATCATGCTATAAATGTTAGTGGAAATATGCAAAACAAACTAATATGTTTGTGCTTCTGTCTTTAAGGTTCAGTCTAGTAATGGAAATGCAATGACTTAAAACATTTTTTTTTTAATTTGATTGTTTTTGCGTAATATTTTGAATTTAAATTTCCTTAAATGTTATTGATAATTTTTTTTAATCAATCTTTTTTGTAAAAGTTTTTTTTTTTTTTACTACGGATATTGGGGGCCTAATGGAGATTGTTCAAGGGCCACATTTGGCCCTTGGGTCTTAAGTTGCCCCCGTCTGCTGTAGATGATCAGCTTTGATTCACACACATCGTTACTATATATTATATTCAAGAGTACGGAAAAGCAGTAAATACGAGCAGTACTTGGGTGTTTGTGAGCATGCCTTGTCTGAAAACAAAGTTTTACAGCTGTCCAACTTTCTAGTAAACCAATAGTCCCAGTGCTTCAGTTAAACAAGAGCACCATTATCTACTTGTCGGCCTTTGTAGGACACGTTAAGGATTCAGGTCAGGCAATGATCGCTCACTGCACGTCTGAACACTCTGAGTTATTCTAGAGAATCTTGATCACCTCAGAGCTTCACTGCTCCGCCTTCATTGCAGTTTCTCTCCTCAGGTGAGCGTCCACAGAGAGTGCACTGTGCGATGCTGTAATGTTCACCTGAGGCACGAACCAGGGAGTGGCGCTGAGGGGCTCGTGTTGCCTGAACATTAGGAAGAGGACGATGAATTGAAAATGATTTGCTTTTTGCAAAGCAGGCGCAGATTACTTGAACAAACATTTTGTGTGGATATCCAGCTGTGGAGCTTTGTGAGTCATGACTCAGCAATGCCATCTTGTTGCAAGTGTTTGATGAGGGCGCAACAAAGAGACCAGGTAACTTTGTCTGAATCTATGGTGCTATTCACTCTGCACTGCTTAAACTGTAGTTCATTTAAAAAGTTATCACTACCAGATGTCCTTCTCCACGTTGTATGATTGACAGATGTGACTTAAAGCTGCAGGTAAATATTTCCATGCGCTGATTGATCGGTTTGGTGAAGAAATTCTGCAGGTTTGATGTTAATCTGTGAATCTGATCTGCCTCTTTCATCATGTTTCTCATTTCCACAACGTTTGAGCAAAAACTCAATGCATTTCACTGTTTGTCATCCCAGAGGAGAGAAGAACAAACACCTTATTAGTGACATTTTATGTTTTTAAAGTAGCTAATCAAGGAGTTCTGAAGAGCAACCAATGGAGGTAGACACGGTTCAGCGGCAATAACGTTTGACCCTTTGCCTTACAATCTATGTAAGCAGAACACCTTTGGGTAATAAGTTACAAAACAGGTAAAGGCACGTCACTTCAGAGGCATGTCACACTGTTGTGTTTTCTGCTTGATGTAGCATCACCAGGATGCATAAACGTCCAACTCTGCATACCTTGAAGGCCCAGGAAGGTACCGAATCAAGTAAGTGTTTGATTTCCATTTGTAATTATTTTTGTCTTTTTAATGTGATTTTAAAAACATCCATTTAGAAGAAAGTGAGGTGAGGTTTTGAATTTAAAATGAACAGCGCATTGTTTTGCTGACAATGTAAACACAAATCATTTATGTTTTTTTTGTTTTTTCCACTGCAGGCATTTGTCAGGGCTGCTGTTTAATATACAATATTATTTTACATTATTAGCATTCAGCGCATATCTTAGATTGTTTAGTCTATAATTTAGCGTATCGTTTAGCGTATCGTTTAGCGTATCGTTTAGCGTATCGTTTAGCGTATCATTTAGCGTATCATTTAGCATATAATTTAGCGTATCGTTTAGCGTATCGTTTAGCGTATTGTTTAGCGTATCGTTTAGCGTATCGTTTAGCGTATTGTTTAGCATATCGTTTAGCGTATTGTTTAGCGTATCATTTAGCATGTCGTTTAGCCTATCATTTAGCATATCATTTAGCGTATCGTTTAGCGTATCGTTTAGCGTATTATTTAGCGTATCATTTAGCATATTATTTAGCGTATCATTTAGCATATCGTTTAGCGTATCATTTATCATATCATTTAGCATATCGTTTAGCGTATCGTTTAGCGTATCGTTTAGCTTTAGTGTATCGTTTAGTGTATCATTTAGCATATCGTTTAGCGTATTGTTTAGCGTATTGTTTAGCATATAATTTAGCGTATTGTTTAGCATATTGTTGAGGTCTTAATCAAACATTGAGAACCAACTTTCAAACACTTAGCTCAAAAACTGCCTCAACTCGAGATCGTTCAGTGGAAGGAAGACAGAGTCAAAAACACAGCCTGAGAAGTAGTTCTGAATTCAGACACAGATTTATTTTACCTTCACAGCGCTGGAAAGGGAAACGTCTCACATGCACCTTACATCCATCTAACATGTCTGAGTTACAAATGTATTTGCTTCGTTTAAATACAGCCTTATCAGTTACATTGGGATGTCCTTATCATGATGTTGTTCTGAGTCAGTCGGTGCTACTGGGTGTGGTCTGGCATGGTCTCGTTTTTTTCGCCCAGTGCCACAGCTGAATGTGATCTGTTCTGGCAAGATAACAGTAGTCTCTGGTTCTCTTGTACAAGGAGTTACGCACATCATGAACTTATATGACGTACATCATGATTTTGCAGTTTTTTTACCATACACAGAGAAATATTTCATGTCAGAGCAGAGCAAAAAAGATGACATTATACAACAATATCGTTTAGCGTATTGTTTAGCGTATTGTTTAGCGTATGATTTAGCGTATCGTTTAGTGTATCGTTTAGCGTATTGTTTAGCGTATTGTTTAGCGTATCATTTAGCATATCATTTAGTGTATCGTTTAGTGTATATCTTAGATCCTTATATACTGTTTCTTTTGATACTTTATATTTTTGTTATTTTTGGGTGTAACTGGGACCTTGAGTACATGATTTGTTCCAGCTCATGTACCACATGTGATGCGAATGACAATAAAGAACCTTGTACTTGAACTTGACTTTTATATAAAACAAATGACTCAGTACCTAAATAGAACATAATGTTTATTACCAGTTAATAAATATATACCTTCAGATAACTTTTCAAATGTAGTTTTATAGTTGTTGTTAGAAGAGTTTCAGCGTGATAGAAGAATTTCTTGCACTACATATTTCTGCTTATGCTATTTAAGTTAATGCATGAGAAAAGTCTCTAAGCTTCAAAGGTCTGTCCTGGCAGGCTTCACATGGGAGGTGCGAGCAAACAACCGTCACTACCAGAAACAGAAGCAGAAGAAATCCTTTCTGTGCTTCAGCTGGGGGCGATACTCTGTAAGTCCATAAATCATCCTGACACACATCAGGCAACATAAAGATTTGGACTCAGACTATTACGTTGCTTAATTTTTATCGCTCCTCGTCTTCTTTTTGTGTGTTCATCCCTTATTGCTCCTCTTTTGTGTGTGTGTGTTTTTTGGTTGTCAGGACAATGTAGTGCGCAGCTACAAGTACTCCCCCCTGACTTTCCTGCCCCTGACACTTTTCGAACAGTTCCAACGAGCAGCAAATCTCTACTTCCTCCTCATGATGGTGTTGCAGGTCAGATAAAGTCATCTCACATTTTATGAGAGTTGACTTGAAATGAAGTCATGTTTAGGAATAAAAACTGTATTTTGGTTTAATTAGGAAGAACTTGGTCTGAGTTTGCAGTCTTGGTTCTAAGGAGTCAGACTTTCCATTGTTCTTTATAGTACTGTAGTCACAAATTTCCCTTACAAAGTTTTTCTTTGGATTTTGGCTGCTTTTTATTATTTTACTTGTTTTTTGTACAGCTCTTATGCCAGACTTGAAAAAAATATCTACAGCATGTGATATCTGATACGTGGCTCTTTAAAAAAACAGAAGAAGAAAAATAAATCCATGCAGCAAAGGTTTGTTGTGGTAAAACTGAAATAAGAAATATGGAATATGTGAGACACAAATCATCTTCGGTGTTTCTTTATTTCTGCAAAAATAGGATGAGTCAGTGCCAGAGTGCAGTCAGGGTTCTGCAGTGATGCTCAGAGAGAAGTTAGGTCACAGCCCTCTTATACCAAACTGGTTAAAGTTGACTAAATGTTTCTTAAAATGTTAGCGTTTATGATCCTTTCTCTACCAAATGCAAACAATGAAACTATCTACGAGGTGATGGTCACCCCTTCTTTGTTTTTGTTATCAAAACGCAGCGATAAATCTTTTCTTGAACATTATTTTCTGACACGCACAGAGCAGGGCTGACCACATGAGATTATCATTATTTAAATCTAAACAGAATAGAACAGCACAAAATTAAAATCACATTATATTAATGAATGATTCCATCAAAGACCAAACACAAGGCCTGACAGATGATTCATCCTTTAGCTGAATATCTGTATGTCAAGATTTCAGCTGAAAACATTTTAAGAATAACTTTACTGGAGATTAAATACAAATTTATGAATCAAACTTTGGTATTTCTTTAATAATTCAGTTAGAAAATGTCTTTTGTATTAATCTTCTGGTTAAAAGCCTGAAGATTAAATTTTGAAATAGCTTTTTTGGCTGTTTAGTGGCTCATCCCTTGAGTTTAGGAGCCTTTTTTATGTCTGAACAAATAAGAGGTCAAAGGTCAAGAAACAACAAACATTATTCTGGAAATGGTTGGCTACTGGACATAAAGTTGGTTTAAAAAAAAAAAAAGCCAAAATCAAAGAAAACTTTTGAAAGCACTTCTATGAGATTAAAAACTTTAGTACTAGTTTACAATAATGCCCCCCTTATAGATGGCTAATAAATAGTTTATAAATATGTTGTTAATTCCTCTTTAAACACTTTATAAATCATTAATAACTGCTTATTATGCATTAATTAAGGGTGAGAAAGAGACAACACTGACCAGTTTATTGCCAAATATTGAGCCAAATCTGTTCACCTATATATTTCATCTAGAGTTGTTATATTAAACATTTCAG